CCCAACCTTTTTGCGGGGGGGGGGGGGCATACCAGTCATTTCTGCTATCATCAGCTGACATCTCAAACATAGTGCTACTGCGTACTCTGGGCTTGTCTTTTATTTCTATAATCAAACAAAGCTTATGTACTGTACAGCCCTATCTGTTATTATTATTATTATTATTCAACTTCCAAAGGCATCGCACGACAGTGTTCCCGATCATGAAACAAAAGCAAATAACAAAAGCTAAAACTTGGCATAAGATTTAATAAAAATTCAGCTTTGTTTTCTCATTGTTGTCTTGTCTGAATCAGTCACTTCCTGAGTGACATTTTTTAGTGTCAGAGGTTTACCAGCTGTGTCCTAGTAAGACAGATTTTGATCATACATTACACTGCTTCATGCCCATAAGATAATGCATATACTCAAATATGATGCATTGACCTCAGACAGCGAGTAAATGAAAGTGACATTATAAAGAATATACCATATGAGCCAGTGCACAGCTTTTCACAGCACTATTCACTCCTCTCTGGGGGTGTTTTCAGCCAGTACCAGTCCCACCTCTCGGAGCTTCTCCATCTTCTGCAAGATCTCAGTGATGTCAAACTGCCACTGTTTTAGCTGCTGCACTGCCATCACTCCCAGTTTAGCACAGGGGCATATTACAGAATATTCAATGGGAAATTATATCAGAACTTTTGACTGGTAGTTTTTTTTTGTGCAGAAAAAGGCAGGAAACAAAACAGTGTTCTCTCCTGTCTCCAGTCTTTATGCTAAGCTAACCTAACTGGCTGCTGGCTGTACATATCTTGGTATCAATTATCAAATCTAACTCTCCAGAAAAAAAATCATAATAAGTAGGGGCGCACCGAAATTTCGGCCACCGAAAAGTTTTTGGCCGAAAAGGCCATTTTTATTTCGGGCCGAAATAAAAAAAAACACGCCGAAAATTCCCCGCCCCGCCCCGAGGCGTACACTCCCTCACTTTCCGAGATGTTTGACGAAATTCTACAGAAAAGCGCCCCGATCCGCAGCGGTGGAACAAGCGCAGCCTTACAACAACTGGACACTTATCTAGGTGAACGACCCATTGCCAGAAGCGACAATCCACTCGACTACTGGCGCTCCAGCAAAGAGCGCTTTCCATTACTTGCACGGGTTGCACGCAGGTATTTATCTGCCCCAAGCACCAACACAGACAGTGAGAGACTCTTCAGTGCAGCATCTCATGTGCTTAATGAGAAGAGGAACCGTCTCTCCGGCCAAAAAGCGGAGCAACTTTTGTTCCTAAAGAAAAACCTGCCACGTTTGTTGAACTAAACAGCAGTCCAATTTTGCATAGTGCATAGTTGCATTAAAATTTGTGTAGCACTGCTAGCTACCTAGGCTATGTTGTTTACAGTTTGTTTGGAAGTTCTATTGCTGTTTTTGCACAGTTTTGCATTGTTTTGCACAGCAATTTAAAATGTTTGAGTGTTACATAAAACTTGAATAATATTATTTGGTATTGTTGTTAAAAATATTTTAGATTTTCATTTCAGATTCATCAAATTCAAGTAATTTTATATATATATATATACATATATATATATATATATACACACACACACACACACACACAATTATAGAGTAAGCGTGTTTTAAAAATTTGAAGTTTTTAAAAGAAGCCATTTTCGGTTTCGTTTCGGTTTTCAGCCAAGTGCATCCTAAATTTTCGGTTTCGGTTTCGGCCCAGAATTTTCATTTCGGTGCATCACTAATAATAAGTATAATTCCTCAAATGTCAAATTATTTCTAATCTTCAAGGTAAACCAGATGAAAACCAAATGTACAAACTAACAGTAGTTTTGTGTCAGCTCCTGCAGCTAGGAGCAGCTTCACTATTTTCTCTCTGTTAGGATGCACTGCATCATGCAAGGCGGTGTCCACTTCCTGAGTAGAAAAAAATGCATTAATGACAGAAATACATTGTAGAGATGATGAAACACTAAAGTGAAACAGACTGAGTTTCTGCCTACCCTGTCCCTAGAGTCAACTCTGGCACCACAGTACAGCAGGTACTCCACAACTGCTGTGTGGTCAGTTCTTGTGACCACATGTAGAGGAGTACTATACAACTGCAGTGTGGATATATACATGAGTGGATTAAGTGTATGCAAATCCATATAAAGAGCTGACTGTATATCACTATAAGACTAACAGTATGCTAACAGACACATAAGCATTTGTGCCAGTAAAAATTCAGGAACAAGTAAAATGCACATTCACCTTATCTCTAATGTTCAGGTCAGCTCCATGACTTTTCATGGCTTTGACAACTGCCAGGCTTCCCCCTCTGCAGGCCCAGTGCATGGCCCTGGAGCCCAGCTGAAACACAGTAGGAAGCCACCATCCTATTAGTAATGATGACATCGGGCCACTAGAGACTGGAGCTTTAGTGGGTGAAGATGATGTGATGCAATCTCATCATCATCTTTACAAACAAGCAATGTGCCTACCTGTCTTACTCAATCTTTAAAGTTGATATTGGCTCCTTTTTCTATAAGCCTTTGGACTACTGCAGTGTGTCCTTCTAGAGAGGCACGTGGAGTGCTGTCCTCTTCAGCTGAAAAAAATTAAATATATTACAAGTACAAAATATTTGTTCTTCTATGTGGTAACTATATCAGTGCCACAGTGGGCGCTCACCTCATCATGGACATTAGGGTTCCTAACCATCAGCCAAATACTTGTCTATTGCATTCAGCCTTGACTGGCTGCATCCATGAACTCTGCAGTATCCACAGGCCCTATCTGTGAAGATAAGGATTCTGAAAGTTGTAGCTCAGCGCAGGGATTTCCACAGACACCCTAAAGTGAGCCTGTTTTTTGATCTTCTTTTTCTTTTTGCACAGCTCTGTAATTTCCTCTCTCTCACTTAAGTCGAAAATCTCACACAGTACATCTGAGGCGACCCTCCTCGCTTTCTCCTCTGCCTGCTAAACGAGAGAAACCGTAATAATGTAGAAATCGCTATAAGAAACACAAGATGAGAGAGGTTTATACAAAGCTAGGGTGCCAAGTGGTCTAAGGGATGTTGAGAACTAGAAATGGTAGTGGCTATAAAAAAGCAAAGAAACAAACAAACAACAAGATCCAAATAAACTGCCTAGTGAGTGACTGCCTAAGATATTGTGATATAAATGGAAAATCATCATGTGTCACCTTGAGCATTAGTATTTCTCTCACCCACCTGAACTTTCTTTTCTACTCCTGTTATATCCTCCATCGTGTTGGTTGCCCACCGCACAGCTTCTTCCTTTTGCATAAAATGTACAAAGATACAAAAAGAAAAGGCAGTCAATAAAATAATTTGAACAGCTTAAGTTTTTTTTAAAGCATTAACTAAAAATTCAGAGTAAAATAACAGAAAAGTAGCAGATAACTATGCTGACTCTGTCACTTTATACAGAAGCGCTACAGGCCCAGTAGTGGCTCCCTGGCTGGAATGTGTGCTCGTGGTGGGACATTGTGTTACCCCAACAAACAGGTGTGCATGCATATATGTTTGTGAGTACTTTCCAGCTCTGTTCTCACTCCCTCTCTTCCCCTCTTTGTCTTGCAGGCAGGGAAACACACATCCATTTTTATTTGTCTGTGGTTCAGTGGGTAGAGCGGTCGTCTCCCAACCAGAGGGTTTGAGGTTCAAATCACAGTGCTGGCAGTCTACATGTCGAAGTGTCCTTGGGCAAGACACTGAACCCCCAAGTTGCCCCAATGATTAGAGCCATCAATGTGAGTTGGCGCCGCAGATGGCTGCCTCGGTTCTGTACTGGAAACAAATTCCTTGTGTGTGTAACATGCTTGGCCAAAATAAAGGTCATTGTCATTATTATTCAAGTACATTCAGCCCTTCAGACATGTCATGCCCAGATCATAAACTGTTGGTACATTCATTCCACATTCATTACTCATTCCTATTACTGCAGCAGTGTATACATCTCCTTTACAGTACTACCCTTATAAACACACTATTCTGGGAGAATTAGGCTATTTGTAATCCTTACTTGCAAATATTTCATCCAAGTTTTCTTACACTGTTTTTTTTTCCTGGACACTTGCTCTTCATTCGTGCAGATCTTTATTAACCGGACATACATAGTACAGTACACACACTTATTTATAGTCATTCCATCTCCAGGGTGACTGAGTGACGTTAATGGTTAACCGGTGTTATTGAGCTCAGTGGGATAGAAAGCAGCAGCCATTTTCGCTGCGTTGGACATGCATCTCACTGCATTCCTCTCAACCATGGAGCACAGGCAAAAAGACAGCTAACTATCAGCTTACATTTCTACCAGGCTGGTTGTAAGTTATATTGTAATACAGTAGTTACCATGTTAAACTGATGATCCTTTTAATGTTTTAGTTCATAGTGACAATTTCAAAGGACAGTGTCTGATGACAGTTGGTAGTGAACTAGGAAACATGGCACTCAGCTCTTTAAATTCTTTCATGTTGTGTTTGTCCTGCATAATAATAATAGTAAGTACCTTCTTATGTAAAGTGTCCTGAGATGATTTTGTTGTGACTTGGTGCTATACAAATAAAATGGAATTGAACTGAATTGGAAAGAGT